GTTACCCTTCTTGATATCAAAATGTGCTGTAAATTTCCACAAATTACTGATTTACCAACAGTTGAAAAAACAGATAAATGAATGGATCGGAACATGCCCAAACACCCAAGTCTATGTAAGACTTTAGAACTTGTTACTGATGAAATTTCATATAAGGGAAAGAGAAGTTATTCATGCGTGATGGAGAAACAATCTATTTAGAGGAAAGTAGCTAGATTTTTATCTCACATACATAAGTGTAAGACGTATGGATAAACATTTTTAAATATACAAAGTGAGAAAAGTACCAGAAGAAAACATAAATTTCTATCTATACATTTTTTATGCTGACAAAGACATTCCAAAGAAGGACTTCAAAAGCAAGAATTCTGGAGGTTGATTGAACAACATAAAAAAAAATTAAAACCCTGTAGATCAGAAAATAAGATTAACAAAAAAAACCAACAATGTGCCTTTAAAAGATGTACAGTGTATTTGTGTCAGACAATATGTTCATTTTTACTGACAAGTCTTTGAAAGCAACAAGCAAAAAAAGCCTGTAATTTGAATTTGGTTTATGGAAAATTCAATAAATATGGGAAGACCACAGATTTAAAGAAAATGAGTCCACGTGTTCAAGAGCACAGCTATCTATCTCCCCACTTCAAAGTTGTCCTCTAAGGTCCTTCAGTAAAGAATGTATGTACAAACGTGTACACTGATATAAAATGGATCTTGAATTTTATCCCAAGAAGTTTTATCCCAGAGGCTCATCTATCATGGCAATTATTTTTCTCATTACACACTTTCCTGTATATAAAAGTGTACATTCAAAATAAGATGCCATTTTTATCTTTATGTTGAATCTGGTCTCTATTATTACTGCCATGCAGTTAAGTCACTGAAAAACTGTCAGGAAAGTGCTCTCTAAGGGGAATTATGAGTGGGTCCAAAACCAGCTCAAGCTTTAGCCGCCTATAAAGTTTGCTGGCCACTGGACCCCACGCTGGTTTCCAGGAGCCTCAGAGGGAAACTGACAGCTGGGCCAGGCCCCCGGCCCCCGGCCCCTCCCAGACCCGCCCCGCCCTGTCCTGCCACCCCTGTGACCTGTTCTTTCTATCACGCTCGTCCAGGCCATTCTGTCTCAGGAAGAGTACTCGCTGGACCTTCCTGACATCTCCAGCACAGGCAGCTCTATGGATCTTTTTTAGGTCCCTCCTGTGAATGTGGTAGCCAGGCTGCGAGTTCCTGCGGTCTCTCTGAGGGCTGATGGTACAGCCCACAGGCGACTCGCAGCTCGCACGGCAAACGCAAAAAAATCGGCTCATTATCTCTACAAGTAGGCTTTCCACCACCACTGGGGTCTGGCTGGGAAGCTGTGTCCGTTGGATTCTATCCGTACACAGTAACCGCAGCCTAGCAACGC